GAAAAAATAAAATGACAAATTAAAAACTTTGGCACTTCGAAAGACACAGTCAAGAAAGTGAAAAGACAACCCACAGAATTGGAGAACATATTTACAAGTCATATAGATATATGCAACTTATATCCTGAAGAACTCTTAAAATTCAGTAATAAGCACCAATAACTCAATTTAAAAATGGGCAAAGTATCTGAACACACATTTCTCCAAAGAAGATATATTAATGACCAATAAGCACATTAATAACTACTCAACATCATTAGGCACTAGAAAATGCAAATCAAAACCACAATGAGATACTACTTCATACCTACTAGAATAACTATAGTCAATAAGACAAATAACAAGTGTTGGTGAGAATGTGGAGAAATAGAAGTCCTCATACATTGCTGGTGGAAATGGAAAATGGCACAACCACTTTTTTGGAAAATAATATGACAGTTTCTTAAAATGTTAAATATAGAATTACCATAAACCAAGAAATTTTACTTTGAGTATCTACCCAGGGAAAATGAAAACACATGTCTTCACAAAGACTTGTGCATAAATGTTCATAGAAGCACTATCCACAAGAGCCAAGAGGTGAAAATAATTCAAATGCCCATCAACTGATGAATGGATAAACAAAGTGTGGTATTTCTATGCAATGGAATAATATTCAACAATAAAAAGGAAGGAAGTACTGAGACATGCTGTCTTATGCTCCATGAAAGAAGTAAAACATAAAGGAATACACACTGCATGATTCCATTTATAACAAATGTCCAGGATAGGCAGATACATAGAGACAGAAAGTAGATTAGTGGTTGTCTAGGGCTGGGAGTAAGAATGAGGAGGGACCCTAGTAAGCATGAAGTTCTTTTGGGGTGAAGAAATGTTCTAAAATTAGATTTGGGTGATGGTTGCAAAATTCTGTAAATATGCTAAAAATCATTGAATCATACACTTAAAATTGGTGAATTTTATGGTATTTATACTTCGGTAAAGCTGTTAATTTTTTTAAGTATTCTTTTAAGATTTTATTTATTTGAGAGAGAGAGAGTATGAGTGGGGGGAAGGGCAGAGGGAGAAGGAGAAGCAAACTCCCCGCTGAGCAGGAGACCAATGTGGAGCTCCATCCTAGGACCCCGGGATCATGACCTGAGCTGACGTCAGATGCTTAACTGACTGAGCCACCCAGGCGCCTCAATTTTTAAAAATATTTTAAAAAGAAATATGTCTATCACTAGCACCAAGACTGTGGTCTCCAAATACCATTTCCCACTAAAAGAAACTAGGACTTCTTGGAGAAATTGTTGATTCCAGGTCTGGGAACAAAAGTGTGTAAGATGAGCCTGGAACATATTGCCACCCTGAAGAGCAAGAAATCTTTCAAAGATTATTAGGATAATGTCAACAAGTCTCAAGAGCCAATTTAAAGAACCCCTTCTGGCCAAAGATGAGACATTTTAAACACTAATGAAGATAATAATTACAATATATTGAAATATATCAAATATATTGAAATATATCAAAAGGTAATAATTATAATATATTGAAATATATCGAACATATAAAATATATTAATTTACATGCCTGAGTTCATAATGATTCTTAAAGGGGAAAAAAGTGGTCACCTTTGAAGGGTATTAAAAAAAACATTATTTTGAAAAATGGTAAATAAATAGAACAAATCAAGCAATTATTCAGGCTTTTCTATATAAATTGTACCACCGGGTAACAAAAACAGTTTATAAGTGGCAGTATCTCTTTATAGAAGTATGCCAGCTAATAAAAGAAGCAGCAATGATATAATAATACCACCATTTTTCAATTCATAATTAATTAATGGGTGCTAACATCACTAAAAAAAAAAAGAGAACCAGAAATGACATAGCTCCTCCTGATGGAAGAACCTAGCATAATCTCTGTTGCCCACCCCCATCTCTAATCTGAATCTGATCAAGCCTCCAGAACAAACTATTACTTTACAGTATATAGAAAGAACAGAGGAACATGTTAAACAATTCATGAGGCTATAGTTAGCAAAATACAAAATATGGGAAAACAGACTTGTTCCTTCAATAAGTAAATCCCAAGGGAGAAAAAAAGAGATGAAAGGGGATATCAAAGTTCAAAAAAGCTAAGAAACAAATCAAACAATCATAAAGTAGGACTTTATTTGGTTCCTGGTCCAAACAAACACACTGTAAAAAAAATATGAAATAATTGTAAATTTGGAGATAGCAGAATATTTGATGATATTAAAGAATAATTGTGTGGGTGGTTGGTGTGATAATGGTATTGTGTTTATGTTTTTTTAAAGAGATCTTTTACAGATATATATTGAATATTTATGAATGAAATTATATGTCTGGGATTTGCTTCAAAATAATAAGGGAGAGGGAGAAATGGGTGGGAGTATATGTGAAACAAGATTGGCTATGAGTTAATAAATAGTGCATTTGGTGATGGGTATAGGAAGGCTCATTACACTATTTTCTTGACTTCTGCATTATGATTAAAATTTTCCACCATAGAAAGTTTTTCTAAAAATCTACTTCATGACTTCGTAGAGAGTAATAATTATATAGAGTGCTTGTAACCATGGTTGACAGATAACCTTCAAACATTGTTTTTAACTTTATATTCCATTTCAATTAATCACACCTAAAAGCATGTTATTTAGACCAAGAGCCATGGCCCACATGACTTTGTCCACCTGGTAATAACTCAATAGTGCATTTGGTGATGGGTACAGGAAAGTTCATTACGCTATTTTCTTGACTTCTACATATAATTAAAATTTTCCACAATAGAAACTAAGCTCCCCCAGGCACTCTCTATTACATCCCATTTCCCATTCTTCATAGCACTTCCTACTATCTGAAATTATCTTATTTATTGTATCTTTCCTCCCACAAAAAGGTAAGTTCCATGAGATTAGGAAACTTGCTCATCTTGCTCATTACTGTATTTCTGACCTGGATTAGGTCCCCAGGACCTGCGTATTAAATAAAATGAACAAATGAATGAGTTGCCGTATTTGCTCTGTGCTTCCTCCCCCGAACTATCCCTCTGCCTCTTCCCCTTCCAACTTCTCCCCAAGGCCTTCGGAAAAGTCTCTGCACTACAAAAACTTCCCTCTATCCTCTTCATTGAATGTCCTTTTCATCTCATTTCCTTGGTGGAAACCCAACAACATGATTTCTCCTGTCTACTCTCCAGTGGAGCCTGCTTGTTTTCTCCTGTGCTGCACAACTCAGGGTCAGACACTGCACTGCCTTGTTTAAACACTCTCTCCCCATCCCCAGCCCCATTGCCACCCACTCCTGCATTGGGCAAGCCTCTACTCATCCAGTTGAGCCTCAGTGTCATTGCTCTAGGAAATCTCCCTTGGTCCTCTGGCCCATACTGCTGCTGTCCAGGTTATACATCCCACCCCACCGAATGTTCTCACCTATGAAAGCATTTTTCACACTATATTGCAACTATCAGCTTATCTGTCTCATCCTTCATCCCCATTCCCGCTAGGCCATAAGCTCTGTGGGGGAAGGAACTTATCCCGGTGCCTGCACATAATGGGCTGTCCAAAAACATGTATTGAGTGAAAGAAGTCAGAAGCTCTTCCAACAGTGAGAGAGACTAAACATGGTGAGACCCAACAGGAAGTCTCTGTCACAGAACCAGTGAGAAGTGGTAAGAGTCTAGACTGGGGGAGTATGGCAGGAACAAAATGGAGAGCTGGACATGATGCCCCATATTTGGCAATGACACATAATCTTTCTTGCCAGATCTCTCTTCCTCCCTTCTGTTCACCTATCAGGTGCCACCAGCACTCACCCCTACCACTGAAGCCAGAAACCTGGGAGACCTCTGCCCTCATCCCACTCCATCTAATCAGAGACCAAACCTCATGCCCAGCCCTCCTTCCCACCCCCACTGCTTCCATCTTTGTTCAGACCACCATCATCTCACACCCTACCTGTTTTAAGTAAATCTTAAGTTCTGCCCTTTCTACATCCCTATGGTATCTCTCCTCCACACAGCTAGAACGAACTTCTTTAAAGTGCAGATCTGAGTGTGTTATTCGCCTAATTAAACCCCTATGATGGCTTCTCATTTCCTTCATGGCTCTAGTCTTCAGCATGGCAGCCAAGGATCGTACTCCATGATGCATCAACTTCCCGAGGCTCTTGGCCTGCCCCCTCCCTAGCAACTTTTGCCCATAGTGAGTGTCATGCTTACCCTGGTTTCCCTGCCTGGGATGTCTTTCCTGTCTGTGTACACTGCAAAAAAAAACCATCATCTTTTTTTTTTTTTTTGGTCTTGTTTTGTTTTGACAGGAAATAGGATTTATTGGTGGGCATGAATAGGGAGGGCGCAGTGCCGAGGTTCTCACGAGTGCAGAGCCTGCCATTTGTCCAAGGGACCACAATTAGGAATGTATTTGACCCACAGCCATCTGGGATGAGCCACTATTCAGCTACCATGTCTTCAAATTCCTCTGCATTAAACTTAGTAAAGCCCTACTTCTTGGAAATGTGGATCTTCTGGTGGCCAGGGAACTTGACCTTGGCCCTTCATAGGGCCTCAGTCACATGCTCCTTGTTCTGCAGCTTGGTATGGATGGACATGATGACTTGGCCAATATGGACCCTGACTACTGTGCCCTGGGGTTTTCCAAAGGCACCCTATATACCTGTCTGGAGCTAGATTAGAGATAACGTGAGGTCAGACATCAATGTCCACTGGAAAGGGCTGTCTCCAAGGTCCCTTAGGGCAATCCTTAGGGCAACAGGCTGCATACACTACCAAGGAGGCTCCTGTTTGCAGCCATCGCACACTGGGCCCCCATGGGGAAAGAGCAGAGTCAGTTTAATTGGCTGCAGACCCATCACCTTTCAAGACCCAGTTCAAGCATCTCTTCTTCTGAGGTGCTTTTTATTTTTCTTTTTTTTAAGATTTTATTTATTTATTTGACAGAGAGAGAGATAGTGAGAGCAGGAACAAAAGCAGGGGGAGTGGGAGAGGGCAAAGCAGACTCTCTGCTGAGCAGGGAGGCGGATGCGGGGCTCTATCCCAGGACCCTGGGATCATGACCTGAGCTGAACACAGATGCCTAACAACTGAGCCACCCAGGTGCCCCTCTGAGGTGCTTTTTAATGCCCCTATTGTCCCCACCCCTCCTTGAGACACAGCAGTCCCCCAAGGAGCCTTCTGCCTTAGCACCTCACCCCGTTTGGCACTGTATGCATTTCCATGGCTGTCTCACTCATTTAAACCATGGGCTCCTCCAGAGCAGGGACCATATCTTAGTCAGCTTTGCATCCCCAGTGCCCAGCACAGAGCCTGGCACGTAGTGGGCACTCAGTAATCACTGGCTGGAATCCTAGGAAGCGCTGAGGTTACACCTGGGTGGTGCGGGTGGGGGTGGGGGGGATGATCTGCTGCCCTCTCCTGGCAATGTGAGGCATTGTCCTAACCACAGACACCACCCCACCTTGCCAAAAAAAGAAAAAAATTTTTTTTTGGAGGAAGGGGAAGCTGCAAAAGGGGAGGATGGAGACTGGATTGGATTGAGGTCTTGGTGAAACACCTTTATCAGCTCCCACACAGTTCCCATGTCCATGCAAGCTAGGATGCATAGGAGGGCATATCCTTAGAGTGGGTCTGTCCCCCCACACTAACTATAAACTCTCCAAATTATACCGTATTTGTTTCCCACTCTGTCCTGTTGTCCTTGTTGTTGTTACTACTCCTGCTGCTTTCATTCATTTTAGTAGGTGATCATTAATTTTTTCCTCTGGTGTTATAAAATGTGCTTTTTTTCTTGTGCATGGGAAGACTGAATTTAACCACTAGTTTCTCTTGATTTTAACTCAGCTTCCCACTGGTAGGAGGTGGTCTCTAGTGTTCTGCGTGTCTCAGCTTCCTGCCAAAATCCAACCACGAATTAGGATCCCCCACCCCTCACTCCTTCCACAGCTTCAACAAGCCATGTGACATCATGGCAGGGGAGGGTGGCTCTCAGCAAGGAGAATCATTACCTCTCTCCTCTTGGGGCTGCAGTCTTATTGTCTGTATTTTGACATGTGGGAAATTGCCTAAAACCTAACATGAGAAATGTTAGGGGAAGGAGCTTGGGGCTGGAGATGGAGGTTTGTGAGTGACGTGCACCCAGACAGGTAAAGACTCAGAGCAGCTAAGATTGCCCACCTGCAGAGAAACATCACCTATTACTCATCTTGGAGTCCTTAATGTTTATCATACAAGATACTCACTAAACTTCTACTGTCTGTAAAATATTGAAAAGAGAGTACACACACACACACACGGAAAAAAGGGATAGGGACCAGAAGCCCAATTTTTGACAGTGTAAAATACTAGTGCCGGCTAATAGGTTTGCCCTAAATTTAGGAATTGATACCACTAGAAAGGAAATGCCTTTTTCAATAAACAAATGTTCTCTTCTGGGCTCCCAAAGAAGACCTCCTCACCTCTTATTTAGTTCCAGTCCAGTCATCCTACCCCTCAAGAGTTTACTGAACAACTTTTGGAATGGCATCATAAACACTGTCTTCGTGTAGACCAGCACCTGTCCCCAAGTGGTTTACAATATATTTGGTGAGATGTGGCACAAATGAAGAAAGGTTGCTCCCTGTCCTCAAGAAGCATGCCATCTCACTGGAAGACAAGGCGTCCATCCGCACTTGCCTTTTCAGAATGATTAGAGGACCACATAATATACAATGAAATAGTACACAGACAATCACTGGGCACTGAAAATGTGCAGTGTAGAGAATAAGTATTATTTAGGTGGAGCTATCAGGGAAGGCTTCCTGGAGGAGGTTGCATTTGAACTGCCCTAGGCTAGGTAGAAGTAGAAAAGAGAATGGAAAATTCCTTGGCCAGGGGTCTGGAGGTATGCTGGGTTTCAGGGATGGAAGTCTTGGTCCCCAGGGCTGGGTAGATGCGGTGTGACGGCCGCGCCACCAGAGCCAGAGAAGTAGAGAAGACAAAGGTGCATAGCTTTCGAGATCGCAGCCGGTATGTTTTGGCTCCTTTGCAGAAGGCCGCCCTCCAAGAAACCCCATGGCCCTGCTGGTATATTGAAATGCTGCAGGGCTACAGTGAAGGGTGGGCCAGGCAGACAGCACTGCTTCTGAACGTCCTCAGTAAGGCCCGCGCCAGTTTGGAAGAAGATTGACGCGGGGCGGGGGGGGGGGCGGGGAGAGGCATGCTGGGCAATCTAGAGAGCCAGAGGGTCCCAGACAGATGAGATGGCTGTGACCTCCCAGAGCCCCCATCCCTCATGAACAGGATCCGTTTGGTTCGCAGAACTCTGCAATGCTGTTCTAAAATAATAGTCACAAGCATGCCTGGTTCACCTTCCCCCCAGACAGAGAGAGACTGGGAAAGTCTTTTTTCCCCATTGCCTGTTTCATCCCAGTCCCGCTGCCCCTGCCCCATACTTCCAGCGAACCACTCAAACGCCCCAATCTGAGTGGGTTCTCAAGGCCAAATTCCTCTGCTTGCACCACATAACCTCATGTCCCGCTCTCCAACACACTCTACTCCATCTGAGACCCATCCGCTCTGCGCAGCAAATGCTCGTGTCCACTTTGGGTCGGCTTTCTTGTGCTGTTCTCACCTCCTGAACACCCTGCTTCCTCCACTCAGAACAATACGGTAGAACCAAAAACAAGACTGACTTACAAGCAGAGAAAAAAGGCTTAGAATCATTCCATAAACCCTGAGTGCTGGCACACCTCTATTCTAACAAATTACTGCAAACTTGGTGACTTAAAACAATACAGATCAATTATCTTTTTTTTAGAATCTTTTAAGATTTTATTTACTTATTTGAGAGAGAGCACGAGCAGGGGGAGGAGGGGCAGAAGCAGACTTCCCGCGGAGCAGGGAGCCCGATGTGGGACTCGATCCCAGGACTCTGGGATCATGATCTGAGCCAAAGGCCGATGCTTAACAGACTGAGCCACCCAGGTGCCCTACAAATCGATTATCTTACAGTTAGAAGTTAACAGCCTAAAATCACTTTTGGCTTTTGGCTCGGGGAGGAAAAGGTGCAACTTTTTTCGGTCGACCCGAATCTGGGTTCATCCGACACCAGCCACCTCCGCCATGCCCCCTAAGTTCAACCCTGACGAGGTCAAAGTCGTGTACCTGAGGTGCACCGGGGGCGAAGTCGGTGCCACGTCTGCCCTGGCCCCGAAGATCGGCCCGCTGGGTCTGTCTCCAAAAGAGTTTGGTGATGACCTCATCAAGGCAACCAGTGATTGGAAGGGTCTGAGGACGACGGTGAAACTGACCATTCAGAACAGACAGGCCCAGATTGAAGTGGGACCTTTGCCTCTGCCCTGATGATCAAAGCCCTCAAGGAAACCGCCAAGGGACAGAAAGAAGCAGAAAAACATTAAGCACAGTGGAAATATCACTTTTGATGAGATCGTCAATATTGCCCGACAGATGCGACACCGATCTTTAGCCAGAGAACTCTCTGGAACCATTAAAGAAATCCTGGGACCTGCCCAGTCTGTGGGCAGCAATGTTGATGGCCGCCACCCTCATGACGTCATCGATGACATCAACGGTTGTGCGGTGGAATGCCCCGCTAGTTAACTACAAAGGAGAATGTTTCAATAAAGGATCATTTGACAACCACAAAAAAAACAAAAACAAAACAAAAAAACACAGCCTAAAATCAGTCTCACTGGGCTAAAATCAAGGTGTCAGCTGGGCTGCTTTCCCCCTGGAGGCTCCAGGGAGAATCTGTTTCCTCGTCTTTTCCAGTTTTTCGAGGCTGCTTGTATTCCTTGGCTTGCAGCCCCACAGCACGACAACTTCTGCTTCCATCTCTACCTGTGATGCTGACACTCCTACTTCCATCTTATAAAGACCCTTGTGATTACATTGGACCCACCAGGATAATTTCCCCATCTCAAGATCCAAGGTAACATATTCATAGATTCTGGAGATTAGGACATAAACATCTTTAGAGGGCCATTATTCATCCAGCTTCCCACAGCGTGATACACACACACACACACTCCCACTCCCAAATCAATAAGACAATCTGATTTTTTAAGATAGATAAAAGATCTGAACAGACACTTTACCAAAGAAGGTATACAAAATGACAAGTACACAAAAGATGCTTAACATCATTATTCATCAGAAGAATGCAAATTAAAACCACAATGGTATTTTACTGCCTACCCACTAGAATGGCTAGAAGATTAGTCAGTGTGGCAGGGATGCAGACCAAATGTAACTCTCCTACATTGCTGGTGGAAATACAAATTGGCATAGCCCCATTTAGAAAACAGGTTAGCAGTTCTTTATAGTCAAACATATATTTACCATCTAGCCTAGCAATCCTGCTCCTAGGTATATATACAAGAAGAATGAAAAAATATTTCCAAACAAAGAGTTGTACAAGAATGTCCCAGCAACTTCATTCCTAGTAGCCACAAACTGGAAACAACCTAAATGTCCCTCAACTGGTGAACAGATCAACTGTGGTATATCCATACAGTGGATACTATTCAGTAATTTTTTAAAAAAAGAACAAATTACTGATACACACAACATAGGTAAATATGAAAAGCATTATGCTAAGTGACAGAAGCCAGACATAAAAGATACCTACTGTATAATTCCTTTTTGTGAAATTCTTAAAAAGGCAAAACTATAGTCAGAGAAAACAGATTAGTGGATGCCAAGGGCCTAGGAGGAGGGCTGCTTGGGGTTACCTGTAGAGGGGCATAACTTTGGGGGATGATGGAAATATTCTATATCTTAATTGTCAGCCCAGCTGACACCTTCACTGTCGCATGGTGATATACATTTATCAAACTTATTAAACTAT